CCAACTCCTGGCAAAGCTTCGCGCCAGCCACTGGCCTCCTACCCCTGGGAGAGGAGAGGTGGCTCCTCGAGTCATGGCTTCTAACGCAAATAAGAACGTAATTTAAAAATTAAATTTAAAATAAATATTAGTTAAATATTAAAGAGAAGAAATCATTTTTAAATGGCCAGCGTGTTTCTCGGTAACCCAACCAGGTATGTTTAAATAAGACACCGCTGAAAATTTTCAATTTTTATCATCCTAGGTATTTTTAAGAATGTTTCTTATAAGGCAAGCATATATATTTTTCTGCTCTCTTAAGAGGTATTAGTTTTAGCAGGTTTCCTCAGGCTAGCGGCATGGAAAGCTGCCCTTGAGAAAGAAGGGAGAAGGCGGTGGCAGCTGCAGGACCCGGGTTATTTACAGGAGCCGAGATCCCCGTTGCTGCCTCCTGGGTCGGTCCCACATCCAGCCACCTTCAGACAAGCCGCCGTCTTTGCCTGGCCACGTTTCTGAATGCAAACGCTCGCGTAGCTCAGAAAGCGCGTGTCCTTGCGTTAGAGAGACAAAGCCTTTGTCTGAGCGGGAGGACGCGGTTGCTGTAGCTCACCCTCAGCACCACGTCCCCAGGACGGGCGCACCAATGATGCTCGGGGCACGCGGACCGGGAGGGACGCCACCACCACCGTTCCTTGTGACGCAGGGGACGCGTTGGATGAGGAGAGCTTCTCCTCGTCCAACACGCTTCATGGAAGGTCCTTCACGTCCCGGGCAGGGCGAGAGACTGGGATCGTGGGACTGACAGCGGAGGGTGCAACAGCAGGCCAAGAAGGCAAAACCGGACCTAAGTGTCAGGGCTGGAGCAACAACAGCAGGAACGTCCTCTGTAGCTGAGGAGTGGCCTCAAGTGAACATTTTGGGTCAAAATCCAAGCGAACAGGACTCTCATGAAAGCAACTCTCCTTTGCCGCTCCGCAGCTTCCAGTCTGTGCACAGGGGGGTGACGAGAGGTAGAAAAACCTCATCTTTGGTGGCAAGAAAATTCAAAGTCCTGCTGACCTGAGAGGGAAACGGCACTTCATAAAGAGCGGTGCGAGACCAGGACCCGCAGAGCTCTGGGCGCGCGTTAGCCTCCTGCCACTCCTCGTGCTGAGGTGCCAGACGTGCTCGGAGCACGCTAACATCTGTGCCGCTGCAGGACGAAGGCCTGACGGTGGGCGAGCTTCTTGCAGGGGGAAAGTCTCATTATGGCCTCTCTCCTCCTCCTCTGGAGCTCGCCGGGAACTTCTGTACCAAATCCAGCCGCGCTGAAAACACACGCTCACCTCCCGCACCTCGTGTTCAGAGGGAAAAAATGATGCTAAAGCTAACCACACCTTACCCTAAATGGCTGAAGTCAGCTACAAGCGGGGAGCTGAGCGGACAGGATCTTTGAACTGGTGATGTTTGTCGTGTCCAGTAGCCACGTCGCTAATTTTACTGAATTCTCCCCGAGTTCTCCCTTCCTGAGCCTTTTGACCGTTACTCCAAAGGAGCAAAAAGCTCCGTGGAGATGCATGAGGTCGGAGGGTCCTGCCTCGGGCTGTGCTAAGTCAGACCGGGGGTGCACCTAGCCCAGGAGCCCCTTTCAGCCGTGACCCAGGGCGGGTGACGTCGCTAATTTTACTGAATTCTCCCCGAGTTCTCCCTTCCTGAGCCTTTTGACCGTTACTCCAAAGGAGCAAAAAGCTCCGTGGAGATGCATGAGGTCGGAGGGTCCTGCCTCGGGCTGTGCTAAGTCAGACCGGGGGGGCACCTAGCCCAGGAGCCCCTTTCAGCCGTGACCCAGGGCGGGTGTTTTGGGGGTGAATATAAAGCACCCGGCGTGGGCGGGGTGCTCCCCCCCG